AAGTATGTCCCTGCAGCTTTAAAATAAAGATTTTTAGGGCTAGCTGCTGCATTCTTGATATCTGCACCTGGACTAATTTGCATAGATTTAAACAAAATTTAATGTTTAGACCAAAATACTTAGTTCTGGTGCTAATGAGGGGACATTCTTAAATTTTAGCCCTGCTAGTAACAATATAAAGCACCATGAACAGAAGCTGCGTATTATGACCCTAACCCTGCAAAAAAAATCTCTCCCTATCCATGTGCTTCATAATAAGCAAAGTCACTTGGTGAGAATTACTGTAGTAGTGCCCATTTGTCTGGATTTTAGAAGTAAAATAGCTCAATGTTAACATCTTGGCTCACATACAGGTCTCCACCATTAAGTCCATAAATGGTATTCATACAAAGGTTTTAAAGTCAGTCTAAGCAAATAGAAAGAAATAAGCTTTTAAGTGTGAGACTATGAAAAGCCTTTAGAGAGGCTTTTAGCTTTTATAATCAGGTCAAAGTCAGGTCTCTTCTGATTTTTCTTTTAAATAATTTTTATGCTGAAGAAGCTTTTCTCTCATTCATATGGGGTGTTTTAATGCTGTATTTGAAGCATGTGACTTTTTATTCGATGAATTAGTTTGTCTTTTACTTCTGTGTAGCTTTTTTCCTGATGACGGTTGTGTTGCAGTTCTCCATACAGTACAATAAATAGCTCTCACAACTGACAGAAAATTAGTAAGGTCCCATAATTAATGCTTAATTATTGCTATTGCTGCCTTGTATATGGAAAATTAATATATTGACTTGCCTTTTCCTAGAAAGATGTTTATAAAGTATAGACGTGGATGTAAAAGGATGTTGATGATTGTGGAGTAAAAGTTTTTATTTCATTTATTTTTTAAGTGCCTGCTTGGGCATCAGTCCTTTGTGTGCACAGTAAAGTGAAAGCAATTTCTATCCTTGCCCTCTCTTGAAGCATTAGGTATTAGCTTCAATGGCAGCGGCAGCAGTCTACCCATGTGGAATGGACGACAGGGTGAGAGCCTTATCGTGCAAGTTTATGGTGCTGCAGGGTCCTCAAAAGTACATGATGATGTTTTGCCTGGAAGAGATCATCCATGCAAGGCATTAGCAAATATTGTGTCTAACATTAGAGTACTTTTGCTTTCCTATAGTCTAATTCATATAAATGTTCCTCAGGACTTTCTGCAGCTGTTCACTGTCCCTGTGTATCTAATGCTCAGAAGACAAGGGCTGTGAGCCAAACTAAAACCATAATTTGAGTTGCTTTCATTTTTGTCACTGCAGTTAAGACTAATAACTTCTGGTGTGGCTTTTAAAATAGCATGTTTGCCTTTACCTGTTTATTCTAAGTTGAGGAGTACTTGTCTCCTGGTTTACCTGTGGATGGGATCTATCTTTCACTGGGATAAAGCAGAACACCTGTTTTAACTTGTAGCTGAGTGGTGATGGAAAAGATGTTTAAATTTGCATCTGCAGGAGAAAATAGCTTATAAAATAAGCTGACAGAGTACATGTTAGATAAATGGACAGTGAAGTGGATTGAAAACTGGCTGAACGACCAGGCCCAGAGGGCTGTGATCAGTGGCACAAAGCCAGCCAGAGGCCAGTCAGCAGTGTTGCCCCCTGGGGTAGATACGGGGGCTGGTACTGCTTAATATCCTAATGAATGGTCTGTACAAGGGGGTAGAGTGCGCTCTCAGCAAGTTCACAGGTGATGCAAAACTGGAAGGCATGGCTGGTACTCCAAATGTTGCCATTCAGAGGGACCTGGACAGGCTGGAGAAATGAGCTGAGAGAAAGCTCATAAAGTTCAGCAAGGGGAAGTGCAAAGTCCTACCTGTGCAGGGAAATTACCCCAGGCACTGGTACACGCTGGGGAACAACTTGCTGGAAAGCAGCTCCGCAGACAAGGACCTGGGAGTCCTGGTGGACACCAAGCTGACCATGAGACAGCAAAGTGCTCTTGTGGCAAAGGTGGCTAATGGTGTCTGGGGCTACCTTGCCAGCAGGTCAAGGGAGGTGATCCTTCCCCTCTACTTACACTGCTGAGGCCACACCTGGAGTGCTGTTTGCAGCCCAGTGCTGTGAATGGTCCACTGAAGGACCACAAAGATGATTAAAGGACTGGAGAATGTCTTCTCTGAGGAGAGGCTGAGAGAGCTGGAACTATTCAGCTTGGAGAAGAGAAGGCTCAGGGGGGATCTTCCCCGTCTCTATAAATAGCTGATGGGAGGGAATGAAGAAGAGGGAGCTAGATCTTTCTCAGTAGTGCCTGCTGACACGACAAGAGGATACAGGCACAACTGAAAAAAATGGAAAATTCCATCTGAACACAGAAGAACTTTTTTACTATGAGGATGGTCAAAAGCTGGTGTAGGTTACCCAGAGAGGTTGTGAAGTATCCATCTGTAGAGATACTCAAAACCAACTGGACATGATCTTCAGCTGCCTGCTATAGATGACCTTGCTTGAGCAAGGGATTGGAGTAGATGGTCTCAAGAGGTCCTTTCCATCCTCAACGATTCTGTGAAAATGCAGACCAGTGATGGAGCAGAAAGAAAAAGGACTTTTTTTTTTCTTGCAAAACTAAAGTACAATATATTCTCTTGTTCACTGTTGGATATGTAGCAGCAAATGTTATGGTTATGGTTCAGATCATGGTAGTGGTTTAGATTGTATGTAGAAGATTTACTTTTATCTTCTGCCTCTTCAATGGGATTGTCTGAATATTAGGTTATGTGGTCAAAAATAGACTATAGGTATAATAAAAGAACAGATCAAGATTACATTTCATTATAGTAGAATTTATTAGAACATAAAGGTAGAGATTATAATCTTTGTTTTGCATATTTATAATAAAGTTCACTTTCATCCTTTTAGCTTTTTGATTTTAACATGTTTCTTTAGAAAAATCTGTGTCATTTATATTCAAGATTTTGTAGGCCATTGCATTAGGATTCTGGATTTTTATATGTAACTTTTAATATAGTTGTATACTGGATTGTTTCTATTGCAGCTGCTATACCAAAGGAGAAAACTTATATGTGAATTTACCTCTTTTTTTTTTTTTTTAATCTTTCTTGACGTATTAATTTGGCTGAGTAACTTCTTTTTCTTTCGTCACTTGAAAGAGGACAAATATACTTCTTGTTTTCCTTGGTATCATTTCTTGAGATTTGTACTATAAAGATGTTTTATGTTGAAACAGCTTCTATTTCACTTGTAAAATTGGCTGATTTCTAGTTGACAGTGCCCTGTGTTAAACACAGACGAAAAACTTTCTTTGTATGCAATACCTGTGTTTACCAATTTTCTTTTTCTCAAAGTATTTTTAATAAAAAGGATAAGTGAGATCATCTACATAAAAGCATGAGAAATGGTATTGATTCATTTGAGTGCTGAGCAAGGAATTTATTTAAAAAAAATATTAAATTCTGTGTTTCTACAGAAAAACAAATGGCACTCAAAGTGTTTTCTAACATTAAAAATCCTCTTATCTGTGGTTTTATGATATTTATAAAGCTAGGACAAAATACTGTTCCTCTTAATATTGATTGTTCTCAGTATGTTGAATACAGAATAGTCCCAATCCTCTTCAGAGAAGTACTAATAACTACTTTAATTATTGTTTCTTTTGAGTTTAAAACCTACCTTATGTGATAACGTTATGGTCAAGCTTCTGTAAATAAAGCCTAGTAGTAATAAGATGTTGTAATTTAAGGAATGAGCTTGCACAGTAATGCTCTTCGGCTCTTGTCCGTTCAGGGGTGACTATTTTTTTGTGAACCTCAGTAAATGGGATCATAATCTGTGCAACAGCTCTGATTTATTTTTGGTGCGGCTTCCTAGGTAGATAAGCATGGAACGACAGCTAAATTAATTTGAAAAGCAATTGCTCTCTCTGTGCGTGTTGATGAAGTCCTTTTTGCTGGATCTGCTGTAAAGCTGTCTGGAGTAGAACTGAGCCTGTGCCCCTCATGGTTTCCTTCCCTTCCTCAGGTTTTGTCATCTCCTGCATTTTTAACTTAGGCAATTTTGATACAAAGGATTCTGAGTGAGCAGATTGTTGTTAACAAGGATTTTTTTTGACATTGAAGACCTGATACTTGCTTTGTAGGGTTGAGTGTTTAAAATTTAAACATGTCAGGAGAGGAGTCTGTGGTTTTTATTTGTCTCTAAAGTAGTAGTCTTACCCATAGTACTCTCTCCTGAAGTACAGAAAAATTTTTCATGTATGAATTGGGACAGGGAAAGTTCTTACATGTGTTTAAAATCCATATCCCAAGTCTCATTTAAGCACAGATTGCAGATTGTAAGGGCATATGTGAAAGCAGAGTTAATTTTGTCCGCTGCTTCTTCTGTACGTTCTTTTTCAAGTACTCTATTACTTCTGCCATTGCTGGTCTTTCAGGTGGTTTATGAAACTGAGGGTATTGCCTGATGTATTAATGGAGGTGTTCTGGTTTTAGCAGCCAGGAGGAAATAAAATCATAGAACCAAAGTCCCTTGGGTGTCTCTGTCCTCACTGTACTGGAACAAATATTTTTCATTTATTTGTACTGCAAAATAGTTTGGGAAATTCTATGCAGAATGAATATTGTCTTAAGATGTTTCCTCTTCAAGTGTCCTGCTGATCTAAATGTGTCGAGAGGTAAAGTTGGTGGAAGGTTATGACATACAGTGGAAGTTGGACTGCTTGCAAATCATACCTTGCACTCCAGAAAAACCTTTTGTTGCTTGTGCTTTTCAACAGTTGCATGTATTTTATTACTGCACAACTAGTGCAGAATAAGGAGAGAGAGAAGTCAAAGCTCTTTGGAGTAACCATCTACTGGGTTAAGACAAGACACCCTGGAGCACTGAAGTCACTGGGAGATTTGAAAAGAAGTGCAGTGTCGTTCCCAGCTTCAGTTTGGGAGTGGGATTTGCACTGCCATGGGTTCCTTGAGTTGGGTTCGTGATCCTGTTTCATCTGCCGTTAACTTTGCTTTGCCTTTCCAGGGTAACCTATCTATTCTGCTGTCTGTCATGTGTGTTCTGCTGAGCCTGGCTGGATTTATATTAGGATGTCAAGGCGCTCGGTTTGTGTCCAGTGTATTCAGATGTGATTTGGTGAGCATACTGGTTTACATGTATTTCCTCAAAGCATGCCACGTAAGCTTGCTGTGCTGGGATCACAAAGTGTGCTAGTATAGAGATGCAAGTAATGCAGCTACAGCGTGGGGGCAGGGCAAAGAAAACCCTCTGTTTCAGGCCTTGATTCAGTTCAAATTGTGAACAGACTCACTGAAATCCACAACTGTATTTTTACTGTCTGTGTTCCTAAACAGCTGGGTTTTTTTCAGTTGGAGTCTTCATAAGGTGTTGAGCTCCTAAAGCTGAAGATCCCAAAAGGATATGTTTTGAAAGGTTTTACTCTTCATTAGAAGAGCATACTTAGCCCAGAAATTGTTTTGTTTGACTTCATTGAGAGCTGGCCTCGTGTCTTCAGGGTCTGAAGACACAGCTGTTTTGGTGCAAGGCTTTCTAGACAATTTTGTGGGGCCATGTCGGAGGGAATTCTAAATATATCTTTAGAAAATCCCTTTTGCCAGCATTATACACTGATTTTAGTATCATAGTCCTTTAAGAGCTAGCAGAAAGGATTTTTATAGTAATGTAACAAAGATAAACTGTTGAAAAAAGCCTGAGTGAGTACTCGCAAGCTACCTACAAAAAGCCCAGTCAATGTAATCTGTGGGTGGGATTTTTTTCTTCATTTGCCTCATCTGGTGAGGACAATTTGCCTTGATACCTTACAGCAAAAACTGTGAGGGAAAAATTAAGGTAGATAAAATCTTACTAGCTTTTCAGAGCACTTCTTAAGGAAGAAGAAATCTGCACAAGAAAGGACAGAATGCAAAAGATTTTTCTCAAATGGGTGTCATAAGAAGTAGAAGAATGTCTATTTATGAACCAGAAACTGTGGAATAATTGAAGGATACAGGGTCACTTGGTGATAAAAATGATCGTGTGTAAAGGCTTGAAGGACTTTAAGGGTTAATGGAAAGATCTTTGAATATTTATTTTCATTCATTTATTGCTTCAGGAAAGATATCACTGGTTCCTTAACATGCTGGTAGGTGTACTGCAGTGAGAGTCCAAGATTACAAGCACTTGGCAATCTAGAGTCACCCAATATCAATGTACCAAAGCAGCACTGAGAACTGTTAATGTTCTTCCAGATGAGGTAGTTAAACGCTTCAGGAATTTCAGAGCCCTCTGTGATGGAAACCGTATGGTACAGCCAAAAGGCATTTGTGAAATCATAAATTATTCTGTAGAGTGGTTTATGTAGGTGGAAGACCTTTGACACTATGACTCTAGAGAGTTTGACAGTAAAAGAGAGTAAAACCCCAATTATCTCTAGATACAGAAACATTTAATTTCTACTTGAAAACTAAGATGACAACACTAATTTGAAAGTTACAAACAATAGTGATGTACAGATGTAACTATTACTGATTTGACTGGGTTGAAATTATAATTGTGGGTTTCACTCTGTCCATAGAGATGCAAAATATACTCATGAATCAAAGAAAATGTGTACATTCCATATACAGTGGCTTACCTGTCAGTCAAAGAAAGAATTTCCAGGCTGCTGTGCATTTGAAAGAGCATGGATACTAAAATTGCTTAGTAATCAGTGCAGCTTTGATTACAACTAAGTTGTATTGAAATGTCTTGAGCTTATCAGTAATGCTTCCTTTCAAACGAGAAGTATGTATTATAATGCATGACTCATTGGCATACCAAACCACACGAATTTTGTTTTATGAGCCTGTATTTGCAGTTCGCTTTGCGGTCATAGGTATAGCTTAAGACACAGGCTCTATATTATGCAGGTAAATTGTTGCATTAAATGGTTAACAAATTAAAAAGTGGCATTTTGTATTTTTAAAGGTGGGTATGGGTGAAAGCAAGACTTGTTTCTGCTGTGAACAATTTCATGTCGCTACATGCAGAGAAGAAGAGTCCGCCCTGATGCTGTACCACACGAAGTCATGTAGTGCTGCTCTCCTTCTTCTCAAGGTATGCTGTGCACACTGCTTAACACGACTGCTTTGATAACGTCCATGCTTGTCGACAGTGCAGTGCTGATGTGACTGCTGTGTTTACTGTGAAAAATTCTGTTATTTTTCTGGTCTTCCACACTGGTCAGAAGCTCTTGAAGATTCTGTAACAGTTCTGGGTTTGTGTGTTTGTTTCTTTGTTTGTTTTTTTGTTTTGTTTTGGGTTTTTTTCTCCTCATCGCTGGGTTTTGACCAGTGCATTGCTGATCCAGCATGCAGTTCTTGTCCTTTCTGTGTTCTATGTGACCGAAACTACAGCTGAATTCAGACAAGATTGCATGGGTAACTAGGGTGTAAATTTCAACTAATGATTTGATACCTTCACTGGTCTTTTGATCTTCTCAGGCTTTTTTTTGGCTTACAAACTGCTAAAATGCAACCTCCAAACAGTGTCATCTTCAAATATAAAAATGCTTTAACATTTCTTTAATTCTTTAATCCATTTCTGGATTTCCCACAGAAAAGTTAAGGGGAAGGTTATAATTCTTTAAATAATGATGGGCTATAAATCACATCTGAGTGGTCTTAAGCCCTTCTGGATCTCTCTGTCATGACTCACAATAGGCTAAAACAAACTTTTGCGAATTACTGCAATCTTGGAGATTATCTGTCCTGAAGGCTTCATCACATGAGTTTCTAAGAAGTAATTGTCATGGTCATCCTTGTGTTTTCTGTGTTTGTTTTTGGTTTAGTTTTTAAATTATTATTATTATGACATTTACAAATACCTTGATTTAATCTTAATTTCCATAATGTTCCTGTTCTTCAGAAAATTCTCTTTACTCTTTCTGCCCTGAATGTTCTGACCGCCACAGTTTGCTTGGTAGTGGCTTCCCTGGATTACTTACAGATTTTTGCGGCAAGAACATCCTGCACAGTAAGTGACTGCAAGGCTTTGCGTGCTATAGAACAGTGGTACTAACAGTATTACTCTATTAGACAGTTCAGCAATTTTTTATATCTTGGAAGGTTTTTAACAGAAGTTTCATTTGATTAGGATGAATCTCACACTGAAGAAGACATTTTAGATCGTGATGGTTTTGGCCCACCTGTGCTGTCTCCCTCTTATTTTGAAGCTTCTTCTTCTTGTACTCCACAAATGAGTCACAGGTAAGCCTCTACATTCTCTTCCTTTCCTTTAGCATCTTTGGAAACACTGCATAATCTTCCTTTTTTTTAAGATGACTTTCTGTGTTATTAACTGAAAACTGTTGGTGAATTTAGAAGAAAGAAAAAAAGAAGAAAAAACCTGTTGAGTTAGGAGGCAGTGTAAATGCAGTATGGGTGAGGGCTATAATTTTGTGGGTTTCACTTTAGATTCTGTAGGAACTGTGTCTAGGTAAGAGAAATACTGAAATTTGGCACAGCTGAAAACTTTTACGATGCTGTCAGGAGCAGGTCAGGGCAGCGATGAAAAGCCAGGGGCAACCTCTTGGCAAGGTTTGTGTGAGAGACCTCTGAGTGGTGGCCTGAGCCCCTTCAGACCTTCCAGCCTCCCCTTCTCCCTCTTTGGCAATTAGGTCTGGCTAAAGGGTATGTTTTGATTGTACTGCCAGGCTTGGTAATCGCCACTCTTATCTCGGTACTGGGGTGTGAGTGATCAGGCAGAGTTTGCACCTGGTGTTTTCGCTGGGCTTCTCTGAAGTGGTGGCTGTGGGATGGAGGAGGAGTGAGAGTGAATATGGGAGGATGAGTTCACATATCAGAAAGAAAAGGAGGGTAGTCACATGTCACTGTAATCTTTCCCCCTGTTTTTTTTTAAATTCATTATTACAAAGATGAGGAAAGAAGGATTCAGTGGAGGTTAAAATAACAGCTTTACAAATTTTCTTGTTAGTAAGAGAAAACATGCAGAAAATTTTTATGTTGCAGAACGCTGCCTGCTTTGGTATAATTAGTCTTATGAAACATTAAAGTGTAAATTTGGGGGGAGGTTTTTTTGTGTTGTTTTGAAGAAGAATAGACCTAAAAATCATGTAGCTAGTCCATTAAGCATCGGCTCTGTTATTCTGCTGTACTGGGACTTACCATGTCTATAATTTCCTGCAATTCAGTGGTGACTTGTGGGTTTTGTTATCCTTCATTCTGCAGGTGGTTTTACACTCTTCAGAGTAACTTGCAGGTTAGCTTTGCTTATTATTTTATGACTCAGGTGGGGCCGCATTAATTCTGCCATGAACACAATGTTAGAGAAAATATTATGATGCTTATCACTCTGCTCTTGTTTAAAACTCTTGCTTTTTGCAGTGTGCAGGACTGTTCAGTTTATTTCACTGTTTCTTCAGGAGTAGTGTACATGACTTTCAAGACTGTGGTCCTTGCAGAAGTAATTACAGATCCTGAGATTACCTTCAAAATGATAACATGGCACAGGAGTAGATTTTTAGAATGAAAAAGTGATCTAAAGCACCAAAGACTGGGGTTGAATTCCAAATGTTACTAAAAACCTGCTATGAGTATCCTGATTCAAGCTAGTTACGAGAACAGAATGGTGTGTGTAATGATTTCTTTGGAATCATAGAATTGTTATGGTTAGAAGAGACCTCAAAGATCATCAAGTCCAACCTTCTACCCAACACCACCGTGCCCACTAAACCCACTAAACCATGTCTCGAAGCACCACATCTAAACATTTTTTGAACACCCCTAGGGATGGTGAGTCCACAACCTCCCTGGGGAGCCCGTTCCAATGCTTAATGACTCTTACAGTGAAGAAGTTCTTCCTAATATCCAGCCTGAACATCCCCTGGTGCAACTTCAGACAGATTAGGCATTTATTGAAAAATGCTTGTTACAGTTTCCCTGCTTTAAAATGGGGCTGTCATTCATTGTCTGGCATGTCCTTCTTGATGGTTATCTCCTTCCCAGCAGCAGTATTTCTCTTTGTCTATTTTCAGCACAGTAGGTGCTGCTGAACAATATTTAAGACTTCTGTGGTCTAATATTAGGGTAGCTACTTTGCCTGTGATGGTGTTAAAACTTGTTCACAGTAACATTTAAGTGATGTTTCTGAAGTCGAGCTACTTGTTCAAGGTGCTCAGGGTAGTTACTGAGCAGTGCGGGAGTGAAGGCAACAGACAGGCTTAACTTCCATTCTTGGCAGAGGAGGAAATACAGCTCACCCCAGGCTGGATCCAGGCTACCCAGCAGAGCGGCCAAGATGGGACCTGGCCTTTTCTCAGCCAGCCTCCTCACGCTTCTCCCTCCCCTCCCTGCCTGGACTGTACACTGAATGCCATGCCGCCTCCATGACCTGGCTTTCTGTGCCGAGCTCCCACAGACTCCGCATCCAAAACTGTTGTGCAAAAGGGGGGTGACAGGAACTGCACCCAGGGTGGCTAGCCATGATCTGCAGGCTGCACCTGAGGCAACTCCAAAACAGATAACGTCCCTTTGAGAAAGAAAACACTGCAGTGATCAAAACATGTACTAAGGGCATGTTTGGAACACGTAGCTGTTCTCCTCCACACTGTATATTGCTGAGCCAGAGGCACTGCTAGCAAAGCCAATTAGTTGGTTTGTTCATTTGTTCATGGGAGAACTTTTGCATTTATCTCATGCAGTGTTAGACAAAACAACGGAGAAGCAGGTGAAGACCCTCCTGGCCTCCCTTGCCCTCCCAGGTGCCCTTATGCAACAGATATGAAGCTCTGGAGCTTGAGGACCAGGCAAGTGATAATGAAGATGAAGGTCCTTCCAGGGAATTGCCTGGGGCAAGTGAGTTAACCACACGTATCAACACTGCACCCAAGAGAAGACAAAGAAAAGTAGTTGTCATAGGGAACTCCCTTCCGAGGGGAACAGAGGGCCCGATATGC